TAATCTGTTCTCTTTGTCTACATGTTTAACTTCCACATATGAGTAAAATCATACAGAGATTGTCTTTCTCTATCTGGCTTATTTCACTTAACATAATACCCTCAAGGTCCATCCATATTGTTGTGAATGGGACGATTTTATCCTTTTTTATGGCTGAGTAGTATTCCATTGTATATATATACCATATCTTCTTTATCCAGTCATCAGTTGATGGGCAATTAGGTTGCTTCCATGTCTTGGCTATTGTAAATAATGCTGCAATGAACATAGGGGTGCATGGGACTTTTGGAATTGCTGATTTCAAGTTCTTTGGATAGATACCTAGTAGTGGGATGGCTGGATCATATGGTATTTCTGTTTTTAATTTTTTGAGAAATCTCCATACTGTTTTCCATAGTGGCTGCACCAGTTTGCACAAACCCCTTTGTAATACAATACTGAAAAATATTGCGTCTGTGAGTGATCAGATCATCCTCTTATTCCAAGGACTTCAGGAACCATCTATACCTTCCAAATAAAGCCCAAACTTCTTTGCTTCGCATTTAGACCAGTCATCCCAGTTAGAAGTAGTCTCCCTCCTCTTATACTTCCATTACATTTTCTTCATAGCTCTAACATGAGAGTTAACATATTTTTACAGTAGATTTGCAGTGAACAAGAACTTAATTTATGTGAATTCTAGTCTAAGTAAAGATGGGCAAATACTTTAAGTTTATATACTTCAATTTTAATCCCCAGTCCTGTACCAGTTACAATTCAGTCAGAGAAGCAGAACCCCTATGAATGATATACAGGATTTATTATGGGCATTAGCCCTTACATTATGTAGGAACTGGTTAAGCAGTCTATGTTTGGTGTTGGGTCTAAAGTCACCGGGGCCAGCAGTGAGGAAGGAAAGATGGTCATGAAATGGATGAAAGCAAGGAAAGATTGGAACTGGCGAGGACAAGCTGGAACCCACAAGGACAAATCAGAACCTGGGAGGACAAATTGGAACTTGCATCTGTCTCTTGTTGCATCTAACTTCAGTGATATGAGTGACCTGCAGGATAAGGTGGTGCCTTTGGGCACACTGTTGAACGTGCATCTACCTGAAGATTCAGAGAAGCTGAAGGAGGAGATGTGATGGGAGCTGGAGAACTGCAGGCCCATGCCTACACGGTGAGCCAGCAGATCAGCGCCTGGCCCTATAATGATCTTCAGAGCATAACAATGTCCACTGCTTTACTTCTGCCTTCCCAATCTCACACAAGTTTCTCTTTAACTAACCCTAACCTAGAATCATAGAGGGAAGGGAATTCTGGGAAATGCAGTTCCATCTTAGCTAAGTTGACATGATACAAAGACCCCACAAGTCCACTTCTGCATAAGATCTTGAGTTAGCAAGGGACTGAAGATACGCATCTGGTATGTTTTCACTCTATCTCAATTCCCAAGTACCTGTCATAGTGTAAGCATCTCACAGGGCTGAGTACAATTCTACTATTTTGTTGAATTTTTCAAGCAAGACTGGTTTCCTAATCACAAGCCACTGCCTCATTACTTGTTCACCTGAAGGAAGTGATCTGATCCAGTGCTGGAGAGAAAGACTGGCTGTATTGGGTTTAGGAACCAAGAGATGGTATGTGGGTTTCCAACATGGTGCCTTCCTAAGAAGGTATTTCTAGAGTGATTTTGCCCATATCCAATTTTCAATTTACACATTGACTTTGGAGCCCAATCCTGGTTTTAGACCCTTCTTCAATAAATATTTATTAAATGGTGAATGAATTATGTACTTCTCATGTTTAGGGATTTTCCACTGCTGTATTTCTCTCAGCAAATAGCAAAGTGCTTGACACAAATTAGATATTCAATAGATGCGGGTTAAATTATATATGGCAAATTTTTATTCTAGTGTTGTGTAGTATCAAAACAAGAGTGTTATAAATGTTTCTTTTTCAATGGTTTCTGAGTTGCCCTTAATATGAGCCACTGAGTATTGAGTATGCTTTGAGGCCTGGGTAAAAGTGACTGCCCATTCAACGTGGGTTTTGCAAGGCAAGTTGGAGCCTACAGAAAAGTATAAGCACATTATAATATTTTGGAAAACTTTGGCTCAGTTTGTTTCTTTCAGTGTTCATATAAATATCTGCACTCGCACTCTGCCTGTACTTCTCTCTCTGTTTCTCTTTCTCTTGTAAGTTATCTTTAAAATATTATTAAAGTAATCCATGCTCTTGGTAAACAGTAAATAAAGGATAAAAGTAAACAGGTTCCCTGAACTCTTCCATCTCCACACACAATTTCACACTTTGCAAAAATAACCACTGCTAATATTTTTTTGTGCTTCTTTCCTCAAATATTCTACGTATTTACAAACATATATATGAATATTCATGTATATTTACATTATATGTATATTTGAAACAAATAGGATTATATTATAAACACTATTCTGCAATGGGTTTTCACTTATATCTTGAAACTTTTCAAATATCAGTATGTAAATATACAACTTTCTTTTAAGAAAACTCTTAAACATGTATTCCAAAGTACAGATTTACAATTTAACTAGTTCCTTGTGATGGTTATCTTAGGTTAATTCTAAGATTTAGCATTAAAAACAATGTTGCACATACATATTTCTTTGTATGTATCATGCAGGTATATCCAAAGAGCAAATTCTTAGCAGTGGAATTGCATGGTTAGCCTGAGCTCTGTCATCAACTGAAGGGTATGTGTTTTCAGGATATGTAATATTTCTAGCTCACTGGAAGCTGCTAAACACAGGATCACATGTATCTCCACAGCCTCTTTTGTCAAGAGAACTTTGACAAAGGGAAAAGAAGACCTTGAAAGAAGAGTCTTTGTCTTTATTATTTGTAGATCCTCCTTGGCCATCTATAATTCACTAACAATTAGCAGTCGTTCATAACCATCTTCTGAAACTGAAGATGGTCATCATACTTAACTCAAAGTCTAATTTGTCATTCTAAGAAACTAATATATTTTTACAATTCCATTATTATCTTAATATAGAACAAGAATGCTGATATTGCCACTAAAACTTAGCTGGCCTGGCAATTGTTGTCAAGACGACTGTCATGAAACAGTTTGCCTGTTGCTTGCTGCTGATCCATTCAACAATATTCCCTGCCTATTTCCCCGAAGGATTTGAGACAGTCCACTCAGCAAGGACAAGTGCTTCAAGACTAACCCCAGCAATAGACTGGAGGACAAAAGGCAGGCGGTAAAGGGAAGAGTGGGAGGAAATTATTTTTCCAAGAAACTGGCTAAGAAAGACCCAAAACTTTGTTCTGAGCTTCTTAGTAGACAAAGTAGAGAAAGAGTCTGAACTATAGAGCTTGCCATTTTCCAGCACAGAGACTCTCAGTCCCGTTAGACACAATGATTCTTTTTTATAACAAATATTTTTAACTCTTTGTTGTTATTCTGAAATGAGGTTTATCGATAATACAGCTTATCTACCCATACCTTTTAAAAATAAATATAAATCATAACTCTAGTATAATAGAGAAATTAAAGGTAAGTAATGTATAGTAAAATAATACTTGTTTTAACATGTATATATCCAGGCAGGACTATGCTGGAAGGCAAACGACATCATCACATGCTTGTATCTCTAGGAGGAATCACTACGAATGAATGCAACAGCTACAAATGCAGACTGGTTCAGGTGTGTTGGCTACTCAACCACCACCAGCCTCATTGATGGTGATGATATAATTTTCCTAAATGTGAAAGAATTCTTCTTAAATCCCGAAAAAAAGCATGATCTTCCCCCAATTTGCTTGGATTTTAAATTCCTAGGAAATTAAGTGATATTGAAATTGAGCAAAAACTTCTTTGTGTTTACATGTAAAGTGGATTTTTTTCTAGGCTCAAAAGCAGACTTTTTTTTCTTACATGGAAGTCTGATGAGATATTAAAAAACGGTGCAGAATGTGGAACAATCTTCACTGTGCAGGACTGTCTTGTACATTGCAGGTGGTTGAGCATCCCTCCTCTCTGTCCACACTAAGTGCCAGAAGTTCCTCCCTCCCATCACCATTGCAACAATCACTTTGGAAATCTGCTTGGCATTATCTGTTAAAATCTGTATTTCCCCAGACCCGGTAATCTACTTGTAGTTATATACACATCCAAAATGAGTACATACATGCATCAAAAGTTTTATTCAAGAATGTTTGCAGCAACATTATTCCTACTAGTCCCAAAGGAAAACAACCTCAAATGTCCCCTCAACAGTGGAGTGGATAAATAAATGGTTCCATATTCATATAAAGGAATAATATACAACAGTGAAAACGAACATATTGCTACTACAGAAACCAGGGAGGAATCTCACAAACATGATGTGGAGCGACAGAGCCACATACAAAAGAATACATGATTCCCAAAGTTGAAACACAGGCAAAACGAATTTATAGTATTTGTTGGGATAATGCCTGGAGGGGGGATAAGGTGCATTTCTGTGGTACTGATAGAGTTCTATTCCTGACCTGGGTGGGGTTTACATGGGTGTGTTCACTTTGTGATAATTCATTATCAGTACAGGGGAGAGTATAACAACAATTCTACAGGACGAGATTTGTGAAGTGTACAGGGAGGAAAAAAACATGACTGTAATTTTAAAAAGTCAACTCCCTTCCTATCCTCCAGCCCTCCATTTCCTAGGAGAGGAGCCCAGGAAAAACCAAACCCGAGAAAGGTATTCCAGCTCAAACTCAAACCCTCAAACAGATTCCCGAGACTCAAATGTCCATCACTCGGGGCAAAAGGTATTCCCAGATTTGTCCAAGGTGATCACAAAAGCAACTAAGTCTCTTCGCTGCCCTGGATAAGGGGAAGGAAAAAATAAAGTTAAAAAACATTGTTACTTTCCAAACTCGCAGCCTGGTGCTCCCGAATCACTCGGGCAACCTGGGGCCCGACCCATCTTAGGGGGCGGGGCCGAGGCCCTACTTTGACGCCCTAGCAACGGAGCGAGCCTTTGTCGCGTCCTAGCGACGCGCCCAGCCCTCCGCTCGGCTGGTCTACTCTCCCCTGGTCCCCTTCCTTCGCTCGCGGCTCAGTCTCACGCTCTCAGTGGGCCTCTCCCTGGGCCCGAGGGCGTGGATTCGCACACTCTGATTCAGGCGCCGGACAGCTCTCCGGGTTCCTGTGGCGGGAGCCGCTCAGGGAGAGCCAGAGCGGGGAGAGGAACTGCGAGAAGGAACGTTTAAGTTAAGAAAGAAAAAAAAAATCAAGATTTGGTAATTTTTATCTTTAAGCCACATCCAAAGCTCGGGGGAGAGAGGGAAGGAGGGTGGGAAAATCACTTTTGGACAAACTGCACGTAAAGAAGGAAGAAAAGAGACCCATTGAGGACCCAGCACGGAGCCGACGGGCGATTGGAGATGTTGGACACCATCATCCCTTCAGTGCAAGACCTGGCCAGGCAGGTGCTGCCCACGCTGCCCTCGCTGAGCCAGGAGGGTAAGTGACATGGGGCGGGGCCCTGGGGGCTGAACCTTCACCTGCTTGGGGACAGGCGGAAGACCTCCTTCCCTATGCCCTGGCTCTGGCGGGCCTGGATTGTCCATGCTGCCTTGGCAACCAGTTGGTAATCACATCAAGCTCACGCTGGATGCCCGGAGACAGGTTCTTTATTGACTGCCTTAATGAAGGAAAGCAGCCAGCTGAGGGTTTTGATTATACGAGATAATGCATATATAGTCCCCTTAGTTCGGGGACTAGCACTAAATAAGTGCTCAACAAATGTTAACTAAAAACAACCACCTCAATCAGGCTCCTTCTCAGAGTTCATGCAAAAACAGGGCTATTTTTATTGCTCTTGAAATCTTGGGGTTGTGTTAAAAAAAGGTGAGATGAACATAAAAAGAACTGGGTGTTTGGAAGAAGACCTGCCAGCTTCTCAGAAAACTTACTAGGCTTGGTTAAAAGCATAGTTTCTTAGAATAGAGTCACTCCAAAGTGACACTGAGGTCTGTCTGCAAGTGATAGGAGCCCTTGGGAAGAAAAGTGCTCCAGAAATGGAAGCTATTATTACTATCAAGTCATTCTAACTTAGGGATGTTGGCGAGGCTCTAACCAAATGATTTTAGGAGACAAAATGAATAGGAGTAAATGCCTCTTTTTTCTCTTTCCCCGAATCACTCCTAGCTTTTCCTGTTAAAATAATTCTAAAAGAAGCATTGAATATAATGGTTTTATGGATTTTAAAAGTATTTACCATATTTATAAATTTATATATAATTTATTCATTCAAGTAGTTTTGAGAACCTTCTATGTACCGGGCACTAGAGAACTGATGGTAAGCAAATCCTTGGAATTTACAATCTAGTGGGGAAGCAATTAACCAAATAATCACAGAAATAAATATAAATTTATAATTAGTAAGTGCTATCAAGGAGGAGGTGCATGGTACAATGAGAACTGTTAATGAGGGTGAGGATGGGTGTGTGCAAAGATTTGCTGAAGAAGATTTGAGCTGAGATGTGAAGAGTGAGCTGAAATTAAGTAGGTGAAATGGATCAGTGGAGTAGGAGGGGAAGTGAGAGTGTTCCTAGAAGAGGGAATACCAAGAGCAAAAGCTCTTGGTGGGAGGGAGCATGGTGTGATTAAGGAATTGAAAGAAGGTCAATATGACTGCTCTATAGCTGCAGGAGCGTGTGTGTTCTAAAGGAGGCTGGTTACGCAGGGCCTTGTAAGTCATATTAAAGGTGTTGGCCTTTCTGTTAAGCCTGATGGGAAGCCATTAAGTATTTCCAGTGGAGCTTAAGGAGGAGTTGAATGACAGGATCAAGTTTGTGTTTTGAGAAGATTGCTCTGGCTGCAATGTGGAGAATGAATTGGAGGGTCAAGAATGCCTATAACAGTCACCTAAGTGAGAGTGAATGTAGCTTGGCCTAAATTGGTAAAATGGAGAGAAGTGGACAGACTGAAAGGCCATTTGGAAGTAAAATCTGCAGGTTATGGTGATGAACTGGATATGGAAGGTGAGAGAGAAGGGAAGTCTCAAGGATGACTTCTGAGTTCCTGCTTATATAACTGGATAGATACTGGTGCCATTCATTGACATGGAACCCCTGGATAAAGGACAAGATTTAAGGGAAGGAAAATCCTGGTTTTGAGGAAGTTGAAGTGCCTTTGTGAGATATCCAAGTAGGCACTTAGATACACAGATCCAGAACCTCAAAAGGGGGAAGGTGTCTGGGCTTCTGAAGAAACATTTGGGAGTCATCTGCATGTTGGTGGTCATTAAAGTCCTGGGCATGGATGTGACTGCTTAAGCAGAGTATAGAGTGAAAAGAGAAAAAGGCCTAGGGCTGTACCTTGAAAAACTCCAACGGTTAATGGCTGGGTTGAGGAAGATGGGCCTTCAAAGGAAACTGAGAAGAAATGGCTAGAGAGGTAGGAAGAAAACCCGGGAGAGAGTAGTGACACAAAAGACAAAAGGAGAGGTGCTTAAGAGGGAAAGGAGTGGTCACCAGTGTCAGATATGCTGAGGGGTCAGAGAGGTGAAAATTAAACATGTCCATTGAATTTATTGACAGGGAGACCATTGGTGACTTTAGCAAGAGCTTTATTGTTTTAATGACAGAAGCAGGAGTCAAATGACTACTTACTAATTTTTACAAATGACTCATTGTAAAGGAGATGAGGATAAACCCCAGTCTCAGCAAAACACATAGATTAACTTTTCATCATTGTATATGTTAAATCCTGCTGCTTCTGTATGTTTCACCAAAGTTTAATATTATGTAATTATAGTTCTTGGAAGGTCTCATCATTATTTTGCAGATGTGAACTGGGTGAAACTACTGAAGACTACACAGCTAGCAACCCCAGGAGGCAAGAAGGCTGTAGATCTTCAGACATGCAGTGCACTGATCTTTCCACTGCACTGTGCTCTGGAAATAGGTCTCTGTGTTTAAATCACTCTGTAATATTTTGCTCTGTTTGTATATTAGTATTTTAATTTTAGAAGATGTTTTATAAAGTCAGGGAACTTATCTTTTATTTTTGACATTAATATTTATTTCAAGCATATATTCTATAATTGACAGAATGGGCATTTAGTCCTCTCTTTAAATGACTGTATCTAAGATACAGTATTCTGTCTACTTGGCAGTGTGTTTAAAAATGTGGTTTTGGGGGCTGGCCCCGTGGCCGAGTGGTTAAGTTCGCGCGCTCTGCTGCAGGCGGCCCAGTGTTTCATTGGTTCGAATCCTGGGCGTGGACATGGCACTGCTCATCAAACCACGCTGAGGCAGCGTCCCACATGCCACAACTAGAAGGACCCACAACGAAGAATATACAACTATGTACTGGGGGGCTTTGGGGAGAAAAAAAGGAAAAAAATAAAATCTTCCAAAAAAAAATGTGGTTTTGGGGGCCAGCCTGATGGCATAGCAGTTAAGTTCATGCACTCCGCTTTGTTGGCCCAGTGGTTGTGGGTTTGAATCCGAGTCGCAGACCTAGCACCACTCATCAAGCCATGCTGTGGGAACATCCCACATAAAATAGAGGAAGATTGGCACAGATGTTAGCTCAGCAACAATCTTCCTCAAACAAAAAGGGGAAGATTGGCAACAGATGTTAGCTCAGGGCCAGTCTTCCTCACACACTTACAAAATAATAAATATGGTTTTGAATGCACAAAATGTTTAGATTTTGAAGTCAAATGAAGGTTGAACTGAATATAGAAGGTGTATCCAGGAATTGCTTCTTTATAAATAGTGATTCTTGGTATTTCGGTGTTTGATTAAAATAAATAATAACCCCAGGTTTCCTTAAAATATAAAAGTAGCATATTTTTTAATTTGCTTTATAGACTGGATTAAAATTCTTTTTGTTTTGAGATTTAGTGATACCCTCTCTGACTCTCTGGGATATCAGAAAAGTCAAAGTTAGAAATCACAGTCTGTAATATTTCCAAATCTATTCCAGTTGAATTGCAGGGGCTTAAACCTTCCGAAGGGAATGATGTGCATGTTTTCCTTTTTCTTCAGTGAGAAACAGCAAATTTCAGTATAGAGTAATAAATTCTGCTGTTATATAACTTTTTCGAAGAGATTTTACAGAATAAAACACACAGTGGACTTGAATGTATCATTCAAATGAAGAAAGATGATCCTCAAATTTCCAATTAAGCTCAGTCAAGTCTTTTCACTAGGGTTTGGTTGCAAGCTATATAGTTTCTCCTGGCCCTAATTAAATCATTTCCTTTTGGTGTAGATTGTTGTCCTGAAATTTGAGCTGCATATCATGAGTCTAGGTGAAAGACTTAACAGTTTTGACTTAAAAACTTTGAAAGTTCTCCAAGTAACTCTGGATACTGAGATTCTGTTTTATTAGTGAGTTAATGACATTTTTGGTCGTGATAAAAATTTTAATTCAGTATACACTTGGGACTGGTTGAAAGACCTTCTCAGGTTTTAGCAGCCAGCTGTGGAATTCTTTTGTCTGTGGGGGTGGGGAGGAGTGGGATAGAGTAGGATGAGGCAGAATAGAGGAAATTCCTGATTATAGTAAACTGTATATCCATATAGTAAAATGTATATCCATTTAGAATGAAGGGCAGAATCTCATCACTTGGCTCACCGTAGTGTGCAGCCCTGGTTTTCTTGGTGGGTGAGTGAGTTTCTATCACCCAACTTGTTCCCTGATGCCCATGAGAGTCACTGCTACTTCTCATTGCCTAACCTGCTCCTTCCCTGGCATATTATTAAAAATATTTGGTACCCTGATATACTGGAATTAAGAGACTTCAGTTTCTCTGCTTGAGGTAGAGGTTTAAACCATTAGGAAAAAAAAGTTATACCAATAAATTAAGCAGTTTTCAAAATGAGGAAAGAATTGGTCTTTTGTCATCAACTGCATCATGACCTGAAGTGGCAACCTGGTAAATGTCACTGTTTTTGATCTTTTATTTTGAGAATTAAAACATAACATTCTTCTGATTAGCAAAGAGTTCCTCACTGGAAAGTATCTTTAATACACGTGATTAGGCTTGGGATGGAGATGTCAACACAGACATAATTTTCTGTATTTCTAAATATTAGTTATACCTAGAGTATACTTTCATATCACACATTAACACTTTAGTTATTGGCAACTCCTTATTTTTCTACTAGTTTTTTGGAACACAGCTCAGAACAAGAAAATAAACATAGAAGGCCTCCCTCTGATCATTCAAAGCAAACAATGCAAAGTCTATGCACTGATTCAAAGGAAAGCCCCTTGGGCCCCTACCCAAAGGTCTGTTTTTAAAATTATTATTTCAGACATAATATTAGCATATTCGTTGAAATCAAGAACACAGCAGATCAGAAGCAGTGAATTAGGAGTAGGCAGGGGGTCTTCCAAGCACTAACAGCAAAGAGAGGTGACTGCTGGTAGTCTTAACAGTGACAAATGAGAATGAAAGGCAAGTCAAGAACTGAGCAAAAATATGGTGATCATTTCGTGATATATACAAATATCAAATCATTATGTTGCATACCTGAAACTAATATAATATGTCAATTATATCTCAATAAAAAAATACATTGTCTCATACGTTTAGTAATGGAGTCATATGGGCATAGACGTTTAAAAAATATTGAAGGCTACTACATGCTACTCACTGTTGAAAGTACACGAAGGTTCAGTGCACAAAACAGCTTATGTCCCTGCTCTCATGGAGTGTATCATCTGGGCAGGGTGGTGGAGAAAGATGATAAACACACACACAGAGTCTCTATAAAGAGGACCCCTCCCCCCAAAAAAGAATTAAGCAAAAATAGAAGTATAGAGACAGCTAATGTACAGACAACAGCCTTTCATGCCTTGGTGGCCCTTGGCCTAATTTTTGAGTTATAAAATGCTATAAGAATGAATGTTCATATTAATCAGATGGCACAAGAATAGACACTTGATTGATGCTTGTTGAAGGGGTCATTAAGAAAAAGCTAGATTATACTCAGTTAACTCTATTTATAGAGTAAAGAGAAATGTATGACCAAGTGCCCTTTGTTCTAGACAGATTTTCTTCAAAAATTTATTATTGTTATTTTTAATCACATTTTTGGAACTTAAAGGGGTAAGCTTTAGTTACCAGGAAAATTAACTTTGGGGAATGACCTTGTTTTCTGTTAATTCTGAATTAATTAGGAATTACTGTTATTCCATTCTGAGATACTATGCCAATTACTAAGATACTATCACATGGGTGCTTATACAAATTAAATTATTTTTGGTTTCCTTTGACATTCAGAAGTCTCTACTATCTGGGGGAATGTGTCAGAATTTGTGGAACGGCAGCTGTCCCTGCGTAAGGTAGGACTTATACTTTAATTTTAATGTAGGAGTCCAAAGGATTTTCCTCCTCAGTCTCATATCATTTTTCTGGGAGCAGGACGGCAGACTTTAGAGCCACCCAGTTTAACTTTCAGTCCTGTGATTTTATGATGCTCATGCTTAGAACTTGTGGATACTAGATTTAACAAACATGGATTTTATCCTTAGGTAATGGCTTTGTAAGTTCTGCCCTTCTAGTGTATGAAGTATTATCACTCGTCAGCCTTGATGTCTGTAGAGGAACAAGATGAGTTCTGTTTATCTGTGATCTGACAGTTTCTGGCATAGCTATAGAAGGATATAATGCTTCTTGTCTTGCCTCCTTGCAGGGAGTGGATTGTAATTGAAATATAAGACAGTCAGGAACTGAACTCAACTTGCCAAAAATGAGAAACCTTGCCCAGGGCTGGACTGTTTCCTCCTGTCAAGTTTTGAGTTTGGATGCCATAGGACTGGACAGAGATTTGTGGAGTTTGCAGGGAGCTGGGAGGTTGTGGAACTTTTATACCCTACTCAGAGGTCCCAATATGTCAGCCCTTGGGCTGAATTCATCCTTCAAACTTATTTTGTTTGGTCTGATAATTTGAATTAGTCATCACCACTTAAAATTGGGAAATTTTATATAAAGTTTTGGATTTTTTTCTCAGAACATCAGCAGATTTAACAATACCAGTTTTCCATTCCTGTGTGGTGACACTTGGCTGGAGCTGACAATGGGCCCTCCGCTTTACATGGGGCACACATGCTCTAGCCACCACATTCTCTGCTGGCTACCTTTACTCCCTTGACTTCTTTCTTGGCCCCTGTAGGCATTTGAGTTTGTAATCCCTGATGTGTGATATTTCCAGGGAGACAGAGACCCAGTTAGAGAGCCAAAAGCATTTGCTTCTACCCATCAGCCAAGAACACCATACTGCAGCATATGGCTTGAATGCTGAGTTGTCTGATTTTAAGTGAGAGGCATACAATCTGAAAGAGGGAATGAGAAAGCAGAGATTCTCTTGACCCCTTAAATTCCCTCCCTCCTATGGCACATGATTAAAATTTAAAATGTCACACAATTTAGGACAAAAGTAACCTTAGATATATATTAAAAGTGGCTATGGCATCCATCCAAGTTTGCTTAGTCCTCACAGCCTTTGAATGACATGGAGATGAGGGATCTGGTGTCAGAAAAGCATCATGGATCGATATGTTACATTTTATACTAAACTTATTTGAAAACCTGGAGTCGTAAAATGCTATAACTATAAGGGATCGTAGAGGTCACTGAATTTTTAAGGCCTAAGCTTAATTCTCTTCATGTTTTTTTGTATAATAATACTAAGGATTATTTTTCTTTACCCCTTCAGTGAATTCTGTTTGTTGTTCTTTTTTCTCCTCCTCTTTTTCCTTTCAGGGGGTTCAGATTCCAGGACTTGGAACTTTTACTTTCATGAGACAAAAGCTTGAGGTGGGAAACAACAAGTTTATCCTAATTCAGAGGCCCGTATTTATCATGGCAGAGAAGTTAGTACAGATCCATGGACTCAAACAAAACAAAGTATATACTCCTGGTAAATCTCTTTACTATTTAAGGCTTTCCCAGAAGGTGACTGGCCTGGGGATGAAAACGAAAGGGCAAATCTTGGCCAGCTGCTGCCTTTTTGGTTTCCGATTTGAGGGGCTCACTTTTCATGGGGACCTTTGGCAGAGGGAGGGTCTGAGATAGGAAATAATATACATCTTCCTGTAGGCCATTTTAAACCTCAGTAGCTTAAGAGGTAGGCAGGAGAAGACCTTATGTGAGATCAAGGCAAATCTATATAAAAGCCACATCATGGAGTTGTGCAGACTGTATTCATATTTCGGACCCTCAGAAATTAAAAGTAGTTATAAAGAAAAGAAAGTTAATTAGGGTCTTTGTTTAGGAGAATGACAGTCAGTATCGCTGTGAAAAAGATCACTGTGTTTCTATCATATATATAATTTAAACGATTAAAATTTAAAATTTAGAAGGTTTGGGTGCGGCCCGGTGGCTGAGTGGTTAAGTTTTCGTGCTCCGCTGCAGAAGCCCAGTGTTTCACTGGTTTGGATCCTGGGCGTGGACAAGGCATTGCTTGTCAGGTGACGCTGAGGTGGTGTCCCACATACCTTAACCAGAAGGACTCACAACGAAAATATACAACTATGTACTGGGGGGATTTGGGGAGAAAAATCAGAAAAAAGAAAAAGATTGGCAACAGTTGTTAGCTCAGGTGCCAAGCTTAAAAAAAAAATTTAGAAGGTTAATAATTCTATAAAGACTTGATGAATGCCTTGTATACCTCTCACACCAGAAAATCTTCCCTTCTTTCCTCCCTCCCGCCTTTTTCTTCTTCCCTTCCTGCCTTCCACAAATATTTACTGAGGGCAACTATGTGTCAGGCCTTGTTCCAGGTGCTTGAGATATAGTGGTAAACAAAACCGACATGATGCCTGCTGCAGGACGCTGACATTCCAGCGTCAGTGTGTGGACTTCATGACATCTGCCCTGGTTACTTAGAGGCCTTTGGGGGCTTCCTTCCTGATTTCTGGCTGTGACACTTTTGACCTTCCTTATCATCCCCTCCTGCATCAAACTCATACCTGGATGAAGAGAGACAGTCTACCCCCAACGCCTGCAGGTGAAAAGGCTAAAACTTTCCTTTATGTTAACTTCCCTGAAAGCTAATTTCCTGAGTAATCATCCACCAAAAAATGATATATTGGAAAAACAAACACCAACAAACTATACTTAGAATTCATTATACATATATTCTGTGCTGGGCTTGATGGACTTTTCAGCCATTTTTACCTGGAGTTTTAGGAGAGAAGAAACGTAATACCCTAATTCATTAAAAACCTACCAAATGAAGTGAAAATAAAGCCAACTTTTTTTGAGAAAACATTTGTGCCTTAGAATTAGACCTTATTTTCCATCTTGGATCTTGTAGAGAGTCCAAAAAAATAGTTTAGATCTATAATTAACTTTTTTACTAGTTTGAGGAAATTTCAGAATTAAACATATATGATTGAATTCATTCACAAGAACAATTCTGTCTACAGTTTAGCTTTGGTGTTATGCTTCTTCATCATTAATTAACCAGATAACTAATCAAACATTATACAGTGATTCTTAAAGATTATTAAGACCTTGCTTTGGTCTGATTATTGGTCCTTGCTTTGAAGAGCTCAGAATCTAGCATAGGAGATAAATATATAAGCAAATGATGAAACATGATTAAATGCTGCGAAAGTAGCGCTGATCAGCACTGGATCAAATGCTAGGGGAGCCCAGAGGAGAGCATGCCTAAGTCTGCTTGAGGGGTTTAGGAAGATGGCATGCCATGAGGTCCTAAAGGATGATAGGACTTTGTCGGCAGAGAAGCTATAGAAAATATTTCAAAAACAGTATGAATAATTCAAGAATAGGGGAAAGAGTGAAGCCTGTTAAGGTAGTAATAGATACTTCTGTTTGGCCAGGGCATATGATTGTGGAGGCAATGAAGGGAGGTAAGACAAAAATGGTTGGTAGGGATCAAATTGTGAAGGCCTCAAATGGTGTGATAAGGACTTTGGAATTCATCCTGTAGGCACTGAGGAACCATTGAAAGTTTTTGATCAGGGAATTATCTGTACTGGTCCAGTTTTTAGTTTAGGAAGATAGCTCTTTTAATTATAGTCATTTGGTAAAATATGGTAGAAGCCTGAATGAAAGCAGGGCAATCAGGAGGAAGATGAGGGAATCTATTTTGAGACATTTCAGATGTAGAACTGATGGGATTTGGTTACTAGTTGAGAGTAGTGGGTAGCAAGAGGAAGGAAGGTATTTAGTATGGCTCAGATTTCTTGGAGAATAGATGTATGCTCATGCCATTAACTGCCATAGGGAATGAAGGGGGAAAGGCAGGCTGTGGTGGCAAATAAAATGATGAGTTTGCTTTTGGACATATTGAATTTGAGATTCCTATAGGGATATTTAGATAGAGATGATTCCAGAGCTCAGGAAAAGGGTGGAGATTGGAGGTCAAGATTTGGATCAGTTTGCTTAAAGACTTAAAGTAAGAAGAGGAGATAGACAAGGACAAAATCCTGTTAAAAAACAAAACAAAACAAGAACAACCACCATCTTACAAGAAGTGAAAGAGGAAGGAAGCCAGCAAAGGAGACCAGGGAGGAGGAAATTGGAGAACCAAGAGTAGTGCCGTGGACACAAGAGAAAAGAGAGGGCATGGTCAGAAGTCACAAAGAGGTCATGAGAATCAGATTTGCAATGTATTCATTGGCTTGTCTATCAAGAGATGATAGTGTCCTTCCTGAGATTAGTGGGCTGGAAAAGATTGCAGAGAGGACTGGGTGAATGGGAGGGGAGAATCTAAAGGCAGGCAATATAGCCTTCTCTTTTAAGAAATTTATTTGAACAAATGAAATGGAGGGAGGTGGTGCAGAATCACTGTTAAGCTGTGCAGGAGACCTAGGTTAATACAGGGAAGCTTGTGTAGTGTAGGCTGTTAATCCTCCTCATCCAGCAGTATTGGACATTTGAAAGGCTATGAATTAATGCTTGCTGAATGAATGTTCAGAATGTTCTTATCTTCTCTCTATCCGTGTTCACTGTCTCTCTTTGGATTTATCATGTTGATCCTCTTTGCTATTTACCCCCTTTTCTGACTTGTGGGCCTTGTACAGCTTCTATATCTAGACTTGAATAAACTCTGTTTCCTTCAAGCTAGATATAGTCCTATTCCTTTGCAATGTCATTTATGGACTCATTAGAGAGGAAAAGCTTTCTTCAAGTCACCCAGTCTGATATCCTCTGATAAGAACCAATTTCATTTGAAAGGTAACTTCTGGTGAAGATAACTATCTTTTCAAAACACTTAACATTTGTAGATACTTATAATCATTTAAAAATGATATGATAAGTGGAGGAGATAGGCAAATAAATAATGCTGCAACATGTCCTGGAAGATAAGGATGCTGAAAAATTCAGAAAACCCTCTGATGAAGAGAAGCAGTTAGTTATTACTATGTTTCCAAGAGAAAATAAAAATCTTGTCTGGAAAATTGCTTAGCAAGCTAATTATTCTTATTTTGAGCAAAAAATATTATACTTTTAGGGAAAATCATATTGATTGCTATCTATTAATAACCAGTAATGTTAGGTGTCTGTAAGAATAATGTTACATTGAGTACAACTAAAGACTTCACACAGACAATTCTATTTTTGAGTATTAAGTGAGAATCAGATAATTATTTGTGAGTGTATATGATATGTCCTTGTTGTAATTTCCACTTCCTTTCCTCCACCCCAACTGTCCTTTTCTCCTCTAGGTGATATCCCAATTGTTCCACTTAATTTTGTCATGATATCCCTGGAGGGTCCATTTAACAGGGATATAGTGGAAGGATGTGTGAAGGAGACGTTGCTTTTTTTATCACGATCCATTTCCATCAAAGAAAATGTGGAGTTTACATTCAAAGGAATTGGAGTCCTCGTGATCAGAGATGGCAAAGTGAAGATGAGATTTTATAAGGACTTCCTTTGTACAATGGATGGAAGTGGGGCTTTGGCGAAAGCCCTAGCAAACGTAAATTAATGTTTCCTTCTCTTAACCCTTCTCCCGAGTAGCTCTGAATCATCTGTAACTGCGTCATCGTTAAGAAAAACTCAGGTTGACATGTTTAAATGACAATTACCCCAAGTGCAAAGAAGTATTTGCTTATAGATGCTTAACTCTTTGACAAAAAGGTTAGAAGAGCAAAGGAACTTACCTAAGTTTTGAGTCAATGCCAACTGAAAAATATAAATAGTAATAGACACTTCTACAACTCTGAACATTTTATAGTACCTTATAGTTTAAAAAGTTCTTCCACATATATTATTTCATTTGAGTCTCAAAACATTATAAAACTGGTATTATTATCATCCTGATTTTACAAATGAGAAAAATGGGGGCTCAGAGAGGTTATATGGGAAGCCTGAAGTCAGTAGTGGTAGACTGGAATTCAAGAAGAACTTCCTAATCACTCTTTTTTTGCTGGTTATACTAGTTTATTTTAATGCAAGTCTATAATAAGATCTAATTCAAGTCATGAAAATGTATCTTTAGCTTTTAATTTGCTATGTTGTAGAAGAAATTTCATAATCCATCGTTAACCATGAAGGAGCTAGTGATGACCTTCATGCTAAGCTGGACACAGCAGACTTTAAGGAGGCAATGAAATAGTCAATCAACAGGACTAATTGAGTACTTAATGTGCCTTAGGTGCAGCTCTGAGAACTAACAAAATTGGTATGAATAAATTGGAATTTTGAAATGTATCATGAAATGTATATAATCCTGTGTTGCACAGAGCAAAAACCTGACTTTTAAAGTGAAAAAGCTATAAAAATGAAAGCCTATAAGTAGGGTCTAATCCTACCCTCTAGCTTCTCCTTTCAGGAAGCTCTAGGATGGGGATTTAGGTGATAAGAGTTGTGCACAATAGGACTTTTGGTGTTTTCTCCACAATCTGGCTTTGTACAGGATTTTTAAGAGAGATGCCAACTTGGTGTATGGGAAAATGGAAATACACACAGGTATAACCTCTGTTTTCCATGAAAACATGAGGCAAGATTTGCAAAACCAGAGCAAGGCCAACGCACTGGCTTGTCTCTAACCTTCAGAGTTCTACAGAACTTGGTAGCCTCAATATGTGTTTAAAAGAGAGGATAGGGCCAGCACCAGTGTCCTAGTGACTAAGTTTGGCATGCTCTGCTTCAGCAGCCTGATTTTGGTTCCCAGGCATGGACCTAGACCACTTGTTTGTCAATGGCCATGCTGTGGTGGTGGCTCACATACAAAAACAGGAAGATTGGCAACAGATATTAGCTCAGGGCGAATCTTCCTCAGCAGGAAAACAAAGAAAAAGAGGACAACATTTTAATTGGCCTGCTGCATTCTAAGACATAACTTTTAAGGGGCATTTTCCAGAAGAACTAGTCCTGAGAGATATTCTATGAAAAAAGCGTTTGGAGGCCAAAGCAGATGGAGAACTGCTGCATATATTACCCTCACGGGCAGAGGCACAAAGCACATTGGCATGTTAAAGGATCTGAGAAGTCTGGCTGGAAAGAAGCCACTTTAACTCCCTGGATGTATTTAATCATGGAACTTTAGGCTAATCCAACATTCATTAACATATATAAAACACATTTTGGGAAATTACTGTATAGTGGTGAGAGTGACTGTTTTTTCCCCAAATGTCCCATAACTTAAACCCGAGTGCTGTCCTGCAGAATAGTTCTCTTGAGAAGCTGTGTGCTTCTTTCAATGATGCTGCTTTTGCTGGAAACATTTTTAAAAACTCTTTTTGGGAATTCCCTTCAAAGCCCTTTGTCAGCTGCATCATTAATCCCAAAATAATAATTTTATATGTTATTCTATACTAGTATAATGTAATAATGTGATTATTATATAATGCAACAATAATTATAATAGCTGCTATTTGTTCAGAGCTTATGATGTGCTAGCCACATATATACAGTGCCTCATAAAGATCCGTGAGTTAGATCCTATTATTATCCCCACACACCTAGGGTCTACTGCTGCATAGCTGTTAGCAGTGTGGGGAGTTGAACATGAGTCTACCTGACTCCAAAGCCCTTCTCTTAACTACCCAATTTTAGAGTTCTTTGTGTCAAGAGTGGAATTAGACTTGCTCATTTTCCTGATAGTTTCAATAAGTTGGCTCTCCTCTTAAAGATGTCTAAAGGAAGCCATCAACTCTGAAGGAAATTTCCAAAGAGGAAATGGTTTGAGAAAAGGCAGCACCAATGGAATTGGTGTGTGACTACTCAGGGTGAAAACTTGGATTAATGACATCATTCCTCATTGGTGTTTAAGCTCTAGACTTTAAGGACTAAACAAAAATAATAGAGTATCATGGTAGCCTTGCCTGTAGCTTAGATTTGTCTGTGTCCTGGACCACAGCCCAAGGATAACCCTTCTCTGTCCCTGTCCTCCAGAGGCCTGGCACTGTGGACTCAGTGTTGTCCAGCAGAGAGACCTGGGAGAAGCGGCCCAGAAGCGTGCTTGTATTTCCAAGGTCAGTGCTTGCTCCACAGCTTCTTCCAGGCACAGCAGCCCTTGCTGACCTACTGATCTAACTGGGCAGGGTTTCACACCCTCTCCTAGCTCGTGCTCCTGTTAGTGCTCTCCCTCTCTTCCTCTCCCTCTCTCAGTGCACCAGCAAAGAAGAGTTTATTGGATACACTTTATGTAGTTAAGTTAAAAAACACTGGGCACTTAGAATATTCCTTTTTTAAACTACTCTTAGTCCCCTGGAAATTCTGACACTACCTCCCACCAACCTTAGTCCCTGCAATATTAGCAAAATTATTCTCACCTGCTGGGCTTTCCTCTCCCCTCCACCACTTCCTCTGACCTAGCTTCTTCCCCTGTCTGCAGTCTAGTCCACCTCTTGTCTGAGCTCTGATTTTCACCACTGAAGGCGTTAGAAAGACAAGGTAGAATAAAAGAACAGCTTTACCCTAAGAGTGCAGTGGGTGATACTGGTGGCTGCTGCTGACAATGATTATAATAATAATAATCATAACAATAACGATGATGATAATAGTTATCATCTATGGAGCACTTACTAGATGCCACGTATTTTTAAGCACTTTCTCAAAATTTTTGTATTTAATCTTCACTGCAACTATTTGAGATATGTGTTATAATTTTATCCATTTTATAGAGGTGTAAAAATTGTGCGCTCTTAATCACGTTCTTAATCTTAATTCCTGTGCCCTTAACCACTATGCATTTCAGGTGGAGGAAGATTGGGGCATAACAATCAGCTTCCCAGAGTATTATTTTCTCATGTTTTTTGAGTCTGTGATATCCTCCTGTGTTTGCTAGTTTGGAATAACCCCCTCCTGGAAGGACTGTGTGACACGTCTTTCCACACAAAATCATTGCGAGGGCCAGAATAAGCCTAAGAGATTAGTTAGTCCAACCCCGTCATCTTGCAGATGAAATGGCCACACAACTGAGTGGCCAAGCCAGAAACAAATCCATGGCTCCTGACTATTCCAGTGTTCTTTCCATTGCACCAAGTTACCTTCCTCATTAAAAATAAATCAATGGATTTAAAATACTTTTTTTATTATATTTTGGAAGGCAAATTTGGCTGTCCCTTTGGACATATTTTGGCTTAAGTATTCCAGAAGGGAAATAATTGCAGTGAGTCAAGCAACAGGGATGGAGGCTCCTATCAATTAGAGAGCCTAGAAATAAACACAAGGACTCAAATACTGAAAAAAATTTTAAGTGTTTTATTTATGTGAAGTTTGGGCCTTGAACTTACTGGAAGTACCGCTCCCCACCCCAACTCTAACCCAGCCCTCCATACGTAACACCAAAGAAAATCTGCAACAACACACACCACCTGAGCAAACTGCTCCCCCAACAGTGCCTTTGCAAGTCCCTCACTTGCCTGAGAGGATGGAGAAGTGGGGAGGAGAAAGAGGGAGGAGAGAAATGGTTATTTCTGGGCATATTCTGCATACTAGGCTATGAATCCTTACCTTCAAGCTATCCAACAATCACCTTTCACTGTATCACCCCTATGGCATCTGGTTACAGAACTAGAAAAGACAAATTCAAAGTGAAACCAAAACTAGAAATGTAAATTCAGGCCTTCAAAACAATTTATCTGTCTAAGAGCTGCTTTTGAGCCCTCAGTATAGAGGGGCAAAGGTGTAGGTTGGCTCCCAGACTTAGCCTTAAAGAGAGTGAGTCCATGATTTGTACTCAGCAAATCAAAGCACTCACTCCCTTGAGAGAAGTGGGCTTATTTCAGAATCAGCGAGCTAGTTGGGTTGCTTCTCAGAATGAGAGTTCACACGGTCACCTATTCAGGTCCAGCACAGTGGACAAACATATTGGCTTGTTCCTAGGATTGAACTCAAGGGGATGGAGAACAAACCAAAAATGGAGCCCATTGTAGAAGAAAGTCAAAAGAATAGACAAAGGAAAAGCAAGTTAAAAGATCAATCAGACAAAGAAGAAGGTGTCAGAGGTAGGCCAATGGTTTCTGAGTATAATCTGTCACTCTTTACTACTTAGGAGCCCAGCCATATTACTTAGCAACTCCTATGCCCAAAGTAAATAAAGTTTGATTCATGAATAATCACTGTATTCTTCTCTTTAACAAACATCTTCCATTCCTGGAATCTTGTATCTCATCTTAACTATTTCATGACTCTCAGATTCTTAGATTATGATCTCTTTGCTGGCTTCCCATTGCTTAAAGGGTCAAAATTCAGATGCCTACAGAGTCCAGGCAGATAACATAAATTCATGAAGTGGAATGGATATAACATGATAGGGAGACATGTTAGCATAAATAATAGTGTTTACGAAAAGTGAAAAAAAAAAAGGAAAAATGAAGACTGGTAGTTTTACATCTTTGATATCTGGCCTAATACAAGATCATTGCATTCTCATATCTGAGTCTTCATTTAATCTGTTGTGATATGTTGGTTTTGTGGAAGCATATAAAGAAAATCCTAGGACTTCAGAGACTTTTTGAAAGGATTCTAGACAACCGCAGGGGTTGCCAGACTACCCTTTGAGGACTGTTCCTCTAGCAGATTGTTGATTCACAGAAATTTGGGCCGAGTGGTTAAAATTTTCTGATTTTTCAAGAGAAGCAGAGATCCTGAAATCTATTGATTGCTAAATGTTGACAACTAATTGATATTGAAACAAAAAATGCTGATTGGGCCAAACAAAACATATCAATGTGTAAACATTGGCTTCCGGATGTTGTTTTGTTCATGTGGCCTACAGGATTACATATAAACTTTTATCCTAATATTCACTTGCTTTCATTTCTTCACCCTCATCTGTCACTGTTTCCTACAGACTCCTTCTTTGAGAAAAATCGTCTATTCATGTTCTTCTAACATGCGTTACTCTTCCCTGACTTCATGGTTTTGTTTACTCTTTTTCTCCTGCCTGGAATGCCCTTCCTTTTCTTAGGGTCTATCCTAATCCCACTTACCTCTTAGCATCCTTTTCACATCTCACTTCCTCCATGACGACTTCTTTCATCACTGGATTCTGAAGTGGCTTCTCTCTTCTCTGAGCATGTTAGACCCTTAAAGAGTGCACCATTCATTCGGGATATAGACGTTTTGCATCGCTGTCCTGAATGGCTATTTATACAATGTATGTGAAACACATAGCACTGTTGACAGGTAGTAAGACCTCCACAAATGAGAGCTCTCATGTTTTTGTTTATATCTTATTTTTCTCTCCAACTATATCTATTGAAAGATCTTTAAAGACAAAGACTTGCCTCTTTGTATTTTCTAAAGTGCCCAGCCAGTGCTTGGCATCTAATAAGTATGCAGCAAAAAATATATTTTTTAAACCACACTAGGGCAAGGGACAATAATTTAAAGATAAGAAAGTGTATCTTATGTGAAAATTTTCCCTGGTAAAATTATGAGTTTTAAAAGTCTATGTTAAGTACAAACAACTCATGTAAAGTTGAAAACAGACTCGCTTTCGTTCACTGTACAGAGATCTTATCACCCAAGATACTTCAAGATAGACAAACTCTCTCCCCTGGCAAAGTGACAAGCGGCAGCTTGCTGACCAAGTTGGAGAGGAGTGGGAGTGGTGGGAAGAATATGAACCCTGAAGGGTAATGTGTTGGTATTTTTTATGTTGTATTTTATTAAATATATTTTTGAGCCATCTCTGGATTCAGGGAATTTAAATAAGCGTTCATTCATTCCTTCATTCAGTATTTTTGAGTATATTCTATGTGCTAGGTGATGGGGATAGTAAAGATGACTAGGGCTCACGATCTAGTGGGAAAGCCAGACATACATAGAGTGATAAATTATGATTCAGTAGGATAAATGCTATGACAGAGGTAGAAATGAAATAGCACAGAGGAGGGAATATCTAACTTCTTTTCTTGTGGATTTGGGAAAACTTTCTTGGTTTTTGTTTTAGCTTTGTCCTGAGGTAACATCTATTACCAATCTGTTTTTTTCTTCTTCTTCTTCTTCGCCCCAAAGCCCCCCATTACATAGTTGTATATTCTGGTTATGCTATGTGAGATGCCACCTCAGCGTGGCTTGATGAGTGGTGCTAGGTCTGTTCCCAAAATCTGAACCAGCGAAACCCTAGGCCGCTGAAGCAGAGTGCCCAAACTTAACCACTTGGCCATGGGGCCAGCCCCTTTCTTTGTTGTTTTCTGAGTGCTTGGATATTATGAACTTACTATAGAATTCACTTATTCAGTTATTTATCTTGTTTATTGGCTGTCTGTCCCCATCAGAGTGTTAATTCCACGAGGATAGGAATTTTTTTGTATGTGTGTTTTGTTGTTCACTGCATTTCCCATGCCTAGAACAGTGCACATAGTAAGCACTAGATAGATTTTTGTAGAATAAATAAATTTTATCCCCATTTGACAGAATTGGTAACTGAGACTTTGCAAGATTACCCAGCTTGTCTAATGCCAGTCAGCTTGTAAGCAAAAAAACTGGGATCCAAATCTAGGTTTATCTGATACAAAGCATATGTTCTTAACCTCTATTCATATAGTTGCTCTGAAGAAAACCACTGAGATATTTTTGTTTGTCTTATGTTTATACTTGCCTCTAAAGTTACTATTGCTCTAGATATCAGACTGCATTAAACATTAATTAATGTTGCATTGTTTTCATAGCTTATCATCTCCAGATTATCTGAAAAATGATGATGAAATGAATCCTAGAATTTCTCCAGCCCCTGCTTGCCAAGATCATAATAAGGCAGGACAGGTACAGTGTCTTCAAACAAACAAAACCTAATCAAACTCTTCCTCTGACTTCTGTTTTTCAGAGAGAGTTCTGGGAATCGCTCTTTCTTTCTTCTTCTTCTTTTTTTTGCTGAGGAAGATTCACCCTGAGTTAACATCTGTGCCAATCTTCCTCTATTTTGTATGTGGGTCACTGCCACAGCATGGCCACTGAATAGTGGTATGGGTTGGTGCCTGGGAACCGAACCTGGGCCCCCAAAGTGGAGCATGCTGAACTTAACCACTAGGCCACAGGGCCCTCCCCAGAATCACTCTTTCTTTAATATATGGGTATGGCTCAAGTTCTCAGGATCCAAAACTGGACTGTGATATATCTATCTACTAGTCAAAATCTACTGGTTAACAGAAATAGAGTTAGGAAATCTCTTTCTAATTTTCAATTGCTATACACACTTCTGATCAAGTGAGAGTTCAGTAAATCCTTATAAATATTTGTGGGGCCCACTCTGCAAATCTCATTTTGCTGATATCATTAATATATCCTTTTACAAAGTATGCTTCTTGATACACCCAGCCTTTGGAGAGCTTGTAAAGGGAATGTGAAGGCAAAAACCTAAAAGGTAAAAATTAATTTGTCCTAAAATTTGGTATTGTAGGAAATGTGTTATGTATGTTTGCAACGAGCACAACGAAATTGCCCATTGTATTATGGTGAGGAGAGGAGGAGGAGGGAGATAGAAGATGAGCGACTCATACAACAATATCAGATGTTGAAGGACCAAGAGGCTCTCTTCAAAGAGCAGGTAGTTCAACACCTCACTAAAGAGTGTTTAACATGGGACAGTAGAACATGATTATAAAATGCCATTTAAAATGTTCCATCATATGTCTGTACAGTAACATATTTAATCATTTACTTACTGCTGGACTAACACTTGTGTCCAAGTTTTCACTAATAGTAAACACTGGGATGAATATCCATGCAGCTGAATGTTTGCATTTGTCACTGATTTTTTTTCCCCCATAAAGACTGAGTTTTAAAGGTAGGATTCCTGGATTTACATGGCTTAATTTTTGATTTCTGATAAAATATAATCCTGGTCAAGGCTTTTCCCTTCAAATTTACGGACTATCTCAAGCAAGCAAAGACAGAATGGCAACTTCAGATCTGTTCTATCCAGATTTCTGTGGTCTCTGATAATTGACCCTACTGCCCCTTCCTGCATTTGTGGTATCATAGGTTACCACATAGGAAATCTTCCATTCTTTCTTACAATTCCCATAGAGGTGGTGCCTAAAGCTCAAGAACAGGAAAAAAACTTCCCCAGCCCACTTTTATAAATCTGTGAAGACATCAGAAAGCATCATGGCTTCCAAAAGGCAGGTTTCTACCTTGGTCAGATTATTTTAATATAACAGAATTAAATTTTTTGAAAGCTCTATTTCAATATGTGATTTCTTTTTTTCAAAGTTGAAAAGTCTGGCTAGTAGAGAACAGAATAAAAAAAATGCTGCCTATAATCTTGGAGTTGCTGAAGCTATAAGAATCCACAAGAATGAGAAACCTGAATTTTATGTGAGTCTTTTCAAAATTTGTTACTAATACCTGCCCCATCTGTGAGTATTTGGATCCTCTATCTGTATTGCAGGTTGTGCCATTTTTTTAAGTGGCCGTGGTAAAAAGAAGGTTGTGCAAGGCTGAAGCTTCCTTCTAGAGCAGGAGTGGTTCAGTGTCTGCCTCCTCACCATTCACATTCACAGTACAGTTCTTCTGAGTCACTCCAGCACTTACCAATGATAGTAATTCTCAGCCAGGACCTGGGCGGGGGTGGGGTGGGGAGGTATACTAAAGTACTGCCCCAGGATTAGCCAATCTAAAGAGAGAAACAGCATCACCTGGAAGCTTGCTGGAAATGCAGAAGCTATGACCTCACCCCAGACTTCAAGAATGGGAATCTACATTTGGATAAGAGGTTTAGGTGATTTGTAGGTGCTTTAAAGTTTGAAAGCCCAGCTTCAGATGGAGGTGAGCCACCTGCTTTGCTGTTAATTCAGTGTCTTCGATCATTATGTGCCTACCTTTATTTCTGCCTGATCGTTCTCGTTTCACCTTACTATCTAGGTAGTGTGACATGGGACATAAAACTAATAAGGTATATTTTCTTTATTCATCATCAAATGTTTATTGAACTCATGTGCTGGCCACTGTGCTGGTGGCTAGGAGTACAAAGATGAATAAGATAAGGTCCCTCTCTAAAGAGGTCTCAGGATCATGGGGGAAACATTTAAAGAGGCAAGAGTGTGGTATACTAAATACTATGATAAATCTTTGAATAGGGCACTGTGTGAGCAAAGAGGAAAGTCCCTTAACCCAGACCGGAGATCTGGAAAGACTTCCTGGTACACAAGAGTTGGGTAAAGAAGTGAATGGAGGAAGAACTTTCCAAGCAGTGGCAGCAGGGAGGGAGGGAGAGCACAGTGCTTTTGAGATTTAGGTGTGATCTCTCTCTCCTCTTAGACATCTAAGTTCCAGATTATATTTCTTACTGCCCACTTTGTATCTCCTCTTTGATCTATCTGTAGATATCTTAAACTTAAAAAGACCAAAACAGAGGATTTGATTCCCCCTGTCAACCAGTTCTTCTCTCAGCCCTCCCATTTCAGCAAGTGGCATCACCATGCAGACAGTTGCACGAACCCCATACCTAGGAGTGATCACAGATTCCTCCTCTTCTGTCCCCCTCATCCAACCATCTGCAAGTCCAGTTGCCTTTACCTCCAAAATGTAGCCACTATCTTTTCACGCCACTTCATCTTCAATGTTACCACCCTAGTCCAAGCCACATTATAGGCTCAACTTCTGCAATACCTCCCTAATTAGGCTCGCTGCTGCTTGCCTTCTTGCCCTCCTACAATCTATTCTCCACACAGTAGCCAAAGCAGTCTTTTAAAACTGTTAACCAAAACATATCATTCTCCTGTTTAAAGCCTCTAATGGTCTCTCGTTGAATTAAAATAGAATGTAAACTCCTTACCTTGACCTATCAGGTCCCGCATGGTTTGGCCCCTGCCCTCCTCTCTGAGCTCACCTGCTTCTACTTTCCCCTCATTCACTATGACTCAGCCACATAGACGTTTCTGCTCTCTAAAATCATGCCTGGCTTGTTTCCATGCAGTGTCTTTGCACTTGCTGTTTCTTCTGTATGGGACACAGGTCCCCTGACATTTGCAGTGGAGGTGATTCAGTCCTCTCCACTGAAAAGCCTTCCCTAATAACCAACCAATTTAGCCCTCTTCCCACCCAGTCACTCGCTATGATAAGGGATTCATGACACTTAGCACCACCTTAAATTATCTGATGTATTGTTTACTTGTTCGCTGTCTGTCTCCTGTACCAGAATGCAGGCTTAATGAGAGTGAGGCTCTCTGTGGATCTCTGTTCTTGGTCATTGTTGGATCACCAGTGTCTAGAATGGCCATGCCCAGAGTAGGTGTTCAATTCTTCCTCTTCCCACCTCCTCTCAGTCCTTGCTCGTACTTTTGTACTCACCGGGAATTCCTTCTTCTTTCTATCTGTGTGTTGTAAATGCTAGCTCAGGACCTGCTCCGTGAAGTCCATTTCCATCTTTCTTTCAGAGATGGGCCTTTGATCAGTTCTGCTCAGATTCATCCCTGAGCACACTCATTATTCTGTGGGTGACCTCAACACTACCTAGTCAACTTCCTAGTGTTGAGGATTGGGCAAATATTATAAGTTAAAAAATACTTTCTGATTGATTTTAGTCTTCTGAATTATTAACTTTATTCTTTGTTGCTTTTTGGTATTCTAGAATAAATGAATTGCTTCTCTGTCATTCTAGAAATCCTTCCTATTTGATAAACGGCCACTCAGTCCTGAGATTAATGCCTTTAAGCAAGAGGAATATTCCCAAAGTCTCCTGAAACAAGTGGATAACAGACGGGAAAAGCAAATCAAGCAAAGACAAAACAGAGAGTTGATGGACCGCCTAGAACAAGTGCAACTCACAGAGGAGTGAGTCCAGCTAGACAAGCTCTGAAAACGAATTTGGAATTTTCATGTAAAGCTTATTTCCATGTAGGATTGAATCAGCTTTGGTAGTTTCATTAGCACAGCCGTACCCCACTGAGCACACTAACCCAGCTAGCAGCCAGTACCATGGCATAACATTTCATTAGAAAAATGAAAAAGCCATCATTATTATAATTATCATTATAGTAATGATTGCCAATCTATAATTAATTATAGAGTATCATTTTGTATTGTTTTCTGATCACTAATACTGGTATATGGAGAAATAAACTTGTCTTGAGCAGGCATCATCCCCAGCTGTTCCCAGGTGATCTTGAGGCAAAGCTGAGGTTTTATTATAAGTATATGGGGATGTTTCATGGAACTCGAGGGCAGGAATGTATGGGGGACCCAGGAGGACTGGAATCAGGGACTAAAAAGTAATGTAAAAAAACCTTCCCTCTGCTCATACCCACAGCTTCTTAGTTGACATCGTCTTTATTCCAGCTCAAACTTGGGTGAATGTTAGTCTCAACTCCAGATTTTCAGGAAAGAGAATCTGATTGGTCCTGCTTGGGTCATCTAAAGCTTGGGATAAGGTCAGGGCCACAGAGTTCAAACATGCCTGAGGGGGCCACACTTCTGCTACTGAAGTCAGGAGAGCAATTAAGGAGGCTACTGTAGTATGAGCAAGACTCCTAAAACAAATAATAAGCTAGTTTCTATGACCAAATATTATATTTCTATAAAATGTATGTGTTCTATTATGCTTACTTTAGATCACGGTGGGTTCCCTGTAGGTTGCATATAATAGAATCATAATTTATAATAGGAAAGATCACTTTTCTTAGAAAGGAATCTTGTGATGAACCATTTTACAGAACAAATAGATACTTCTTGTTTTTTTATCTAGACTTTTTAAAGCATGGTGGGGAAGGAGGGTGCCTGTCTTAGCGATAGTGCATTTGGACAATATGGTCGATACCTATCCTGTCTGTCCTGTGCTCAACACATTGTCCACTAGCCTATGGATTTCAATTACTCTTCCTTTTTTCTTAAAATAAAAGCTTCTAGAAGGAAATATCACTTTTTATTTACCAGGCTCGCAGTCCTATTAATACTTACTAAACATGTTGTGGTGATGTTAATCTGTATTACTAAAGACTCTGTAATAAACTGTGCTCCTACCTTTTCTTATTCTTAACCGCCAGACTTGCTGCACAAAGAGCCAAATATATAAAAGATAAGATAGAAGAAACATGGTGTTATAAGAGAGCTTTGGATGCACAAGTAAGGGGACAATTATTATTTTTAAAATTATGCAGTGCTTCAATAGCATTCTAAAAATATATTTAGATATACGGTCATATTATGAATACCCTTATGTTTTATCCATTTGGTGGCTTTTGAGGGCCTTGTTCCTTCCTCTAAGGTATTGGTGTATTACTATTCTACAGCACTGTGCATAAGCTTTATTCCCTGGTATAATTATAATCTGCATTGTGTGTGTCCCTGTTTCAGATAAAGAACAAAGCCCCTCAGCTGCCCATGTTTGAGCCAGACTCTTTTGAGCCCATCTTTGGTAATAACAAGTGTAATCTGATGGTGGAAAAGCAAATGCGAGAACAGAATTACATGAAGCACCAGCTGGAGGCAGCTGCTAGTCACAAGAGGAGAGCTATCCTGCACCAACTGGTGGACCAAAAGAGGGACTTGCAGATGCTCCAGAGGGCCCAAAAAGAGTAGGAGACCTTGGGTCTTTCTTCCTCCTTCTCCTCTCCTCCTCCCCTCTGCTATTTCCCCTCTTCTCTCTCTTTCTTTTTCTCATACAACAGCAGAGAAGCAATAATAATAGTGAACAAAATGAGGAGTTATGTGCAAAATATTGTTCTTAGCTTAGTGTATACTTCATGTCATTTCATCCTCACAATTCACCCTATGAGGAAAAGTTATCGAATTAAAAAAACTAACCAAACTCTCGATCCCACTTCTTCCTCCAGGTACTCTCCACATTTTTCCTTCCCTTTACAGTACAACTTCTTAAAAGAGTTGTCCATACCAGCACTATCCATTGGAAATACAACGTGAGGCACAAATGTATTGTTGTGCTCAAGTAGACACAGACATGAAATTCAGGTCCATTCTAAACTTCCACTAAAACCCCTTCCTTCAAAGAACTGTACATGTAGTAAGCTGTACTGATGATTGCTGGTGAGGGGGTAGTGAAGACGGCAGGGTAGGCAGAGGAGGACTTTATGCCATATCAACGCAAATACATTTAAATTCAAACATTAGACCTACCCAGTTTCTTAAGATGCCTAATTGGTCACACCACCAATGGGGAATGTTTAAAGGTCCTGACCAGCTCTCAGCCTCGCAACATCTCCTTGGCTTCTTCTCACCTTCCCATTTTCCATATCTCCTACTGTCTCTCTTCCACGCCTGACTGACATAGACAACTCCAGTTTCTTCTTTGTAGAGGTCAGCAATTCTCAGATCCTTGATTAGAATTATAAAATCATTGAAGTGCTTAGGGGTTCCAAAAGGGCTTCTCCTCAAAAGAATCTCCTCTTTTTAGACAGCAGCTATACTTATAAAAAGATAAAATGTTATTTTATTTAAATTTTATAAATTACAAATGGTCAGTGGGGTGGTGCAAACATCTGTTATGTTCTATACCAAGTAGGCTCAAACATGAGTAGAATAGTAGGTTGAAGATGGAGGATATCATGAAGAGGGTGGGGTTGGATTGTTGGTAGAGAGAAGTGAGAGCATGGCTTTTGGGGTCAAGTCAGATGTGGGATAGAGTCTTGCATCTACCCAGGGCAATGTATACTTGTTTGGCTGTGCTGTTTGCTAAAATACTGAAATATTTCCAGACTTCTTGATAAATAGCTGTTGCCTCAAGCCCCACAAGTGCATCCCTGCTGCCCAACCTGCCTCAGCCTCTCCTCGGGATCCCCCCATCCCAGTTCTCCGTGATCTTTCACCTAATGGATGAACACCCGGGATCTTTAAGACCACTTCCAGTGTCCGTTCTGATTGATTGGCAGTTCTGTCATTTTACTCGTTGTGTGATATTGGGCAGGTTACATACCTCTGAGGGCATTGGTTTCCTTATCAGTTATTAGGGATAATACTAGTATCTACCTCCAGGGTGGTTGAGGGTTAAATGAAATAATTTTTGTAAATAGCTTCTGTTTCATAGCAAATAGCTGTCGCTTGTCCCATGGTGGCTGTGCCTTTGTATGCTGCCACAGCCAGATCTGGGTCCCTTTGTATTTGCTGCAGAGATTATTGCAGCTTCTGCCTTCACTTCTAGCCCTTAGCTTCTCCAGTTGATCTCCTGAACTTGGAGTTAGGAGGGTTAAACTCTCCCTCTTCCAACCTGCATGACCTGGGCCAAATCAGACATAGGGGTTTTGAGTCCTCTTGTCCTCCTATGAAAAATAAGGATAATCACACCTGCCCTACCTCTCCTCACTATGAGAACTAAATGAGATTATGTATGGGAGAGCATTTTGGGACATTGCGAACCTCTGAACAAATACAAATTATGGTCTTTACTTGGTAAAGACCCCTTTTCTGTATGGGTCATTCTCTACTGTTTCTATATCCTTTACTGGTTATTCCAGATTCTCTCACTCCTCTTATCTTTTCCAACTCCCCCGCCCTCTGGTCCACCTCAAGATGTGATCTTGGGTCTTCCTGTAGCAAATGGAATGTCACTTTCTTTCAGAGGGGCTAATTACTCAGTGTGATCCAAATAGGCTGCTAAAGCATTTTCATTGTTTTACTTTTTTTTCTTTAAACTTTTCTCCTTTTGTTTTTAAAAAATATAGCAATTTATGCTCATTAAAATAAGTCAATTGGTGGAAAGGTTAAAAAAAAAGTTAATAATCTCCCCTACCAGTAGTCAGTTTTAAGTTAATATGTAGCCTTCTACATTTTTTCCTTTTCTTTATAAATGTATTCAAACAATATGCACCTATATATTTTTCTTTCTATTTTTTAAATGAAAGTGAGACCTATGGGCTCTTATACATTACTCTGCAACCCAACCTTTCTTTAAACTAATAATGTGTCATTAACTTATATTTAGGTTAGTACATATATACAAGATTCATTCTTCTTTAATAACAGTATAATATCCGTAATATGGGTTGCTATCATTTAACTTTTGCACCATTGATGAACGTTCACTTTGTTTCCAGATATTTTGCTATTATAACAATTCTCTATTAAACATTTTTTTTTTTTAAGATTTTATTTTTTCCTTTTTCTCCCCAAAGCCCCCCGGTACATAGTTGTATATTCTTCGCTGTGGGTCCTTCTAGTTGTGGCATGTGGGACGCTGCCTCAGCGTGGTCTGATGAGCAGTGCCATGTCCGCGCCCAGGATTCGAACCAACGAAACACTGGGCCGCCTGCAGCAGAGCGCGCGAACTTAACCACTCGGCCACGGGGCCAGCCCCTCTATTAAACATTTTTAATACATATCTTTATACTGGTTCTTTTATTTCTATTGGATAAATTCCTAAAAGTGAGGTTCCTGGATCAAGTGTTTGGCACGTTTAAAATATTATCAGGTACATTTTTAATATTACCAGATACAGTTTGCTTTCTAATAAGGTATAGCAGTTTGCTTCCACCAGCAGTCTTTTGAGAATCCTAGTTCCCTCTGCTCTAACCCCACTTCATTTTCTTACTTTCTAGGCATTTACATTAAAATGGCTTTTTAACCTATTCTTTAAAAAATAATATCATAGTGGCCAAAAAGCATATGAAAAGTTGCTCAACATCACTAATGATTAGGGAAATGCAAATTAAAACCACAATGAGATAGCCTCTCATTAACAAATGGTTTCCATTCTCCGAGAAGTGTGTGTGTGATTCTTACTCAACCATCAACTGTCATCGTTTGCACTGTTTGAAAAAGAGGTCATTTAGCATTTAACTACATTTTTGCCTCTCCAAGATAAGAAGTGTTTCATGTTTTATTGAATATTTACTTATCTGAACCTGAGATAAGGAATTCTCCACTCCAGTGAATAAAAATGGTAAGCTAAGAAGGTGCTATTTAAAATGTAGTTGTGTTTTATATTACACAATTTAATAATTTAATTCCAATCACATATATATCCTGGAGTGCTAACGTTATGGCAGTATGAATGGAGTAAGCAGTTAGTAAATTGTTCACAATTTCCTCTAACTCACTTTGTAGGCGTAGGAAAAAGTCTTTTACTATTTAAGATGTATATATCAGTGTAACATAACAGATAAGATGGCTATCTTTTTTTTTCCTAGGGTCTTATGAAAAGAAAACATTTATACATTTGCAGAACAGTGTAATAAGATTTCACAAATGCAAAGATAAAATGTGCTATCGTTTATCTTGGGTTATCATATTTGTGGTTTGATTGCCTGGTGAAATATCCAAATCAAAGAAAATTACAGATTTTTCTTACACCATGAAACCTTTAACAAGTACTTATTTTAGAGTATTCAAAAGATTAAAAAGGAAGAAAATTGTCTGTTCATTGTAGACAAAACCATTAAGATACAAATATAATATGATGTAAAGGGGAAAAATAAAACTAAGACAGCAAAAAAAATAATAAAAGAGAGAGAGAGAGGAAGATATTACCTCACTCCCACTAGCATGGCTACTATAAAAAAAACAGAAAATAATAAGTATTGACAAAGATATGGAGAAATAGGAACCCTGCGTACTGTTGGTGGGAATGTAAAATGATCCAGCCATTATGGAAAACAGTATGGCAGTTCCTCAAAAAGTTAAAAATAGAAATACCATATGATTCAATCATTTGACTCCTGGGTGTATATCTAAAAGAATTAAAAGCAGGATCTTGAAGAGATATTTGCACAACCACCTTCAGAGCAGGATTATTCACAATAGCCAAGAAATGGAAGCAACCTAAATGTCTAACCACAGATGAATGGATAAACAAAATGTGGTATACACATACAATGAAATATTATTCAGCATTAGAAACGAAAGAAATTCTGACATATGCTGCAACATGAGTGGATCTTCAGGACATTATGCTAAGTGAAAAATAAGCCAGTCACAAAAGGAAAAACACGGTATGATTTCACTTATGTAAGGTATTTAGAATAGTCAAATTCATGGAAACCCAGTGGAATGGTGGTTGCCAGGGTCTAGGGGAAGGGAGAAATAGGGAGTTGTTGTTTAATGGGCATAGAGTTTCAATGTTACAAGGTGAAAGGAGTTCTGGGTATTGGTTGCACAATAATGTAAATATACTTAAGACTGTATCTGTACACTTAGAAATAGTTAAGATGGTCAATTTCATGTTACATGATTTTACTACAATTAAAAAAAACTATGAAAAGGAAAAAGGTATGGAAAATATATATAATAGGTACCATTCAGTCATTGAGCTCTCATTGTATGATAGGCATTGGCACTTTCTGTATATTATCTTATTTAAACTTTATAATACCCACACAACAGCTGTTAAATCAATGCTTATTAGAGGAAAATGTGGTCATACTATTTTAGGAAAAGTGAACCAGCACTGAGCACATTACTGATTTTTCTTGGAGGGCCCTGATACCTAGTGGCAGTTGCTACCTGTAACACAAAGCCCTTCAGAGCTGGCTAAATCAGCCATGGCATTTAGTGAAGTCCCTTCTAGAATTTAATGAGAACGGATGGTAAGAGTTTCAGTTTGGCAAGAAATAGACACATATAAGTGATTTGAACCAGGTTTAAGGTGATTTGCAACAGCAATGACTGCATGTTTGGAGACAGTAAAAGAAACACTTAAACATTGTGAATACTGGGATGTTGCACTTGAAGAGAGATATTATAGTCACTTCTTCAATGATATGGCCATCACCAAACACATTCTTTTTACTTTCTGTACAGTGTTAGATATGTTCTCCATTTCATTTTCTTTTCCTAGTCACTTCTGTTTCTTTTCCCCTTTCTAACCATTCATTTGTATGCCTGTCTACTTTGTCTTGTAAAATGCCTGTAGCAACCTGTAGGCTGATTACTGACAGCTGAGAGGCTGGAATAAAAGGAAAGAAACATAAAGTCTGGGAAATCCATTTGAGATGATTCTTTAGATCAGTTAAATTAGCCTCAAAAGAAATTAATGGCTTTAAAGGCTGAATTTGTTAATTGGAAAAAGGTTTCGATCCTACTCTTTTAAACCAGAATGGAAGATGAAAGGTCCTAGATCCATAAATTATTTGAAAGCTAGGAGTTTCACTATCTTTTTGCAGTGTTCATGCCTTAATAGACTCCAAAGAGTGGTGAACAAAATCAGAAAGTTTTCTGTTTACCATAAAAGGAATGGGGCTCCCAAGGTTGGTGCATGTCCTTCCCAGTATTGTGAATGAAATCAGACTGTTCTGTTCTCCCTAGGCACTTGGCAGATAGAAATGCTGAGCTGGAGCGAGTGAACAGAATCAACCAGAGCTTACAGGAGGACTGGGAAAGGAGTGCTGCAATGAAGAGGCAGCGGGACCTGGAGGAGAAGGCCTTCGAGCGGTAATACCTGATTGGAACCAGTCCTTTGTCTGCTTCTTGTTTACTTTCCTCTAATCCTGAGATGGCAGTTAGGTTTCCAGTGCCAACTCCAGTTGATGAGTAGTGGCTGCCTAGAGAAATTTGTAGAGAAAAGGATTCTGGGTCCAGTGGGAAATACTGCTACAATGTATTAGGAATGTCTGTTATGGATATGGGATTGGAGAATGCTGTGTTATATATTATATATTTGTCATCTCTGCCCTAATCTTGGCCTCTGCGTAGGGTAGCTTTATCTTCTTTCTGTGGAGGATGGGGAGGCAGGGGGGTTGGGGAGTGGGGAGGAGGGTGGGAATTCTCTTTGGAAATAAATAGTTGGAAATTGGGAGAGTGAGTATCCATCTGAACAAATCCACAGCCTAAGGAATGGTCATTTAAGAGCAGAGTCAAGGGGTTGTGGGTCAGACTGTCAACTGGAAAAGTGAGATGCCACTGCGAAATGAACCAAGAAAATCTTCCTGAAATGTATTATTATATCCCTACCCCCTCTCTCCAGCTATCTATTTACAATCTAGGATCAGGGAATCTAGTCATGGCTTTGAGGATTAACACTAACTTTGGAAAGGCAGCTAATCTTTTGGTGTTACTTTTCTTATTTGTAAGATGGAGAAAGTAAACACTTGCCTGACTTAACACAGGAATTTGGGGATCAAATAAAGAGATGAAAAAGTATTATACTTTAATTAAAATACTTTACAAATGTAGGGTATAATTTCATAGAATTTTAAAAACTTGAAGAAACAGGCCATGCCTACACAATCAAATGTTATTAAAACCTGAATATATCAAAATAATATTTTAAATTGCCAATTATCAACTAATTTTTATCATGGATAAAATTTGTTCTAATGGATCTTGATCTGTGACTCTCCTTTTCCTTTTAGATTTTCTTTTAAGGCATTTTTTGCTGGTCTTTCTAACAGGTAGAGCCCATATGTTGTGATGATGCAAGTATGAGTGATGACATGGAAATAGGTTCCAAAGGAGAACTGGGGTTGTTTGGCCTAGGGAAGAGGTAGGGAAAGCTGAGTTGGGGGTTTCAAGCCATTTTCTCAATGTTATGGGAAATCGGGTAGAAAGCAGTGAAGTGAATGCCAGGGAGATTTTCACTGGATTTTGAAAGAATGCTTGGCCACCATGATGATAAAGGGTATAGGGGACATGAAGTAACCTTGAGTGGCAGGATAACACAGCTGCTCCAAGGACATGGCAGAGCGAACCTATTACCCGAAGACCTAGGCCAAGTTGTGGGCAGGGACTCAAGCAGGCAGCGGGTGGGAAGAAGGAATTGGTTGGTGTTAAAAAGAAAATGAAGCAAAAACAAGGTTCATGTGCATGCAGTTAGCACATGGTATTCCATCCCATGACCAAGGCAAGCCAGGTGGTCTTCCCTGGACATTGCAAAGACTCTTTGTTCTTTTTCTTTGTAAGGCTGCTCTTGTTTCTCCTTTTTACAGAATTCCACCCATGTAGAAATTTTGATAGGATAGGGGAACACACCAGGGACTGTCCTGCATAATCAAGAAAAATTGTTGGAGTGGAAAATCAGTTACTGCCATCCCTTCAGCTCTGCTTGGAGCTGCTTTTGTCCTTGTCTCCACTTTCGCTCCTGCCCCTAACTCTCCAGAGGTCTCTGGCCTCTGGGGACTTTTCATTTTGAGTCTACTCTGTCTCCTGGGGTATTAACTGTTAACCAGCAGCTTAATGGCCTGCTCTCCCTCTCAAATGCTGTCTCCTGGGAGCCTGACAGGTAAAGGTGCAGCCACATGGCCAAGCAGGGAACACAGAGGCTTTGGAGCCACCATGGGCTGGTTGAGGGACCTTGGGCAAGTTACGTGTTCTCTGAGGGTTCGGGTACGTGTGGCTGGGGAGAAGGGCTGGGGTCAGACTGTTGTGAAGGCACTGAGTCAGAGCCTTTTATTTAACTGGGGAATGAGGAGATAGCTGAGGTTTGGAAGCAGGAGATGCCAAGCTGGGGCTGGCTGCAGGCAGCAGCCTGGAGGGTGAGAGCCTGCAGGTGGGAGATCACAGGTGGGTGGGAAGCTCCTGGAGGGCAGGGACCAGGTGTTGCTTTTCTTTTGTCTCCCTTCCACTGGCTTCCAGGCCAGGGCCCCAGCCAGGACTCAGGGAATGCCTGCTAATGACTGCTTTTCCTCGCCTCTCCCCAGGGCCTCAGACAAGCTCTTCCTCCTGGACCAATGTGAGAAGTATCGGCGCTGCAGGCAGTGCCAGCGGTGCACCTCCAACGTGGGCAAGAGCAACCTGTGGCCCCTGAACAAGTCCCTGCATGGCTCCCGGTTGTTTGTCTAAAACCCAATGTTTGGACATGTGTCCAAAACCTGGGGAAGGTTTTTATTTTTCAAATGTTTAGGGGTGATGGCAAAACGACATATTTATACTTTAGAGGAAAAAAATTGTGTGGTTTTGGTGCTTTCAGGAATAGATTTATTTTTAGCCCTTTACTGAATTCACATACAGAGGTTCTCACATCTGTCGTCCTCCCATCCACACAGAACCCTGCTGCCATCGGGGCTGGGAATGGGACCCTGCTTCATTCTGGCTGCGGGCGTGCTGCTGACCCAGCCCTGCCACCCCCTCTGTGACTTTGTATAAGACTTTGTGACTTTATCTTTTCTTCATCTATAATGAATAATGTCATAATAAATATTTTCTACGTGCCCGACTGTGCATAACAATTCATAATGGTAAATTTTACCATCCTCCCCCAGCCCTAGATTTTTCTAGAGGACCCTATGTGTGAAAAACCCACAGGTAGGTTAGGCTATTTGCCTCAGGTGGTGAGAGTAATGCCTTCCGAGTTTTCTACTTGGTGATACACCTGGGACTTTGTTGGGACCTCAGGGGATATCATTCCTTTGGTGACCTTCTGGTCAATCATTCTGTTGCCCAGCCACTTCTACACCATGATTGTAGGTTTATTGGGATAAGTGTGTACTGTGAGGGGAGTCTGGCTGCCGTGCCAGGTGCTACCTTCTTCTCTCACTGCTTCACTTGGATCCATTCTTAAGCTAAATATGCTGTGGAAGAGGAGTATCTTCCTGTTAAAGGACTGATTTTCAGTTAAGCTGGGGGTGTTCTCAGCCACAAACTTTCTTCATTTGTCTTCACCCTTTATCTTTCCTCTCCCTGCCCTGTCCTACCACCTTAGGTAAAAAATTAACAAAGAAGAGTGAAGTCTAGATTTCTGAAATACAAAATCTAGGAAGAAAGTCCCTTCAACTATTTGCTTTCTGCTGTCATATCTTTCTTAGAAAATGGGTGAAAATATATCTGGGGAGACCTCCAAAACATTGTTTTGTCCTGCTACAAATACAAAGTAGGAATGTTTTGAGCCCTGAATAGTTAAGGGGAAAGTACTCAGATTGATATCGGGCAAATTTTGTTGCTAATGTTATCTTTTTCTATGGAAATAAGTAAGCTTACTGGTGACTGGAATTGTCTGGAACCTCTCAACCCAAGCTTCCTATGTTGCCACTTCCTTCCATTTCCCCAGAAGATCACCCCATGCAGGTTGAATGATCACCAACCAATACTTAAAACATAGCCTTTCCCCAGGACTGCTTGACTTGCCTGAAGTCCATATCTGCTGCACCCTTGGAGTATTTCTGTGTCTCTAATATATAATAAATTACTTTAATAGCATTGTATTAATATTTTTAAAAAATACAGACTGCCTTCTTAAAGAAAAAAAGACTTTAGGAAATTTTGATATGTTTAGGTGAAAAGATTTAACTTTGTAGACAGTTTTTACTATAGGAACTGAACTTATTTATTACCATTGCTAGCAGTACTGACTCTTACTGTGTGCCAAGCACCAAGCTAATTTTTGGTGACCTGGAGATTAAGACCTCATCAGTCCCTGCCTGCCTTCAGAGCACTTACTGTGTGGAGCAGAGGTGAGATGTGACTGGAGAATCTCCACATAACAAGGTAAAAACCTGATAGCGCTGTGCATTGGTTGTTACGGACGAGCGAGCTGGAGCCCTTGTAGTCAGTTATCCTGGCACAGAGAGAGAAAGCTTTTGAAGGAGATGAGGCCTAAGCTGAATTTTTAAGGATAAATAGGAAATAGCTGGATGAAGAGTGACAAGGGGTCATGGCAACAGATGTCGAGGCCCTGTGTGCCTATCAAGGCTAAGATGGAGATGTGGTTATGTGAGTTAGGTTATGAAACCTAATATGTTTTTTATCATTCAACCTTTTTAAGAATCAAACTACATTATAGTCCTTCATTAAAACAACTGATATCATACAATAAAGAATGGACAGTCTTTTTTTTGAGCAAGTCTTCATAGATTATCATCTTCTTCACTGATCTTAACGGCTAATCTTACATAAGTCCAACCCTGTTATTAGGCCAGACTCAATTAGCATGTCTTTTGCTAAATCAATTTGAATTACTGTCACCAAGTTCTCTCATTCCCAGAACTCTGGCACTACCAGATCAGCTTAATGTATCAAAGAATTCCCAATTTCAGTGATTTTTAAAGTTTTGGACAGTTGTGGACTCTTAAGAATCTGATGAAAAATATGGACTCTTTCCTAAAAATATGTACATTTTCATATACAACATTTTGTCTACAATTAGAGGTTTCCTAGACCTCTGGATCTGGACCCCAGGTTAAGAACTCCTGGTTTAGATGGATATCGTTCAATATTATTATGAGCTTAAGCTATCAAAAGTGAGTAAAGTGAAGGCCTTTGCTTTTGAAAATGGCCTTCAGTTCTAGAGAACTATGTCCAGTTTTGTCTTCCTCTTTGACTCTTCATAAGAATAAGTCATTCTTCATAAGAATGAGATGAGAGTTGGGATGGCTATTAGAAAGCACATACTTCAGTATTTGTCAAACTTTTTTGAGTAAGACTCAGTAAAAGAAATACATTTCATAAAAGAAATACGTGCCCACACATATAATTGAGACAAAAGTTTTACAGAGCTATACTTACCCCATCCATCTACAATGCATTCTGGTAATTCCTATTTTACTTTATTTCATTAAAAAATTCTGATTAGACTGAAAAAAATTGATATAACAATCCAGTAACGTAAGTAGATAATTTTCAGTTTTATAAACACAGTTTCAGTCTAATTCTTCCCTCCACTTATGCTTTCATAGTACTTTGTAGTTTTGTGGAATTCATTAGTGGTTAAGATGATATTATAATGGTATTTGACCAAAAGACAGGAATGTTTAGGTCCTATTTTGCTGTAACCAGATCTCCTTCAGAGGTACCCCAAGAAAACCCAGTAGCTATTTGCCCCACCTCCCAAAGCTAAGTCCCAGAACTTCTAGTTCCAATACATTTGAGGACCAGAGAGAAAGGAGCCAGAGATAAACAAGTGAAAATGTATGCCCCAATGCCTAGGCTGAGGGAGGCCTTAGAAATCCAAAGAGAGAAGAAATGCTAAGTATTTGCAGCCTATATCTCAATGTACTAGTTTATGGGTGGAAGAGGACGAAGTGGACGACACACAGGCCATCTTGAAGCGCCGTGCAGACGGGGCTACGTACAAAGGCTCCTAGCTCCCAGTTTCCCATCGCTGCTGCAACAAATTACCACAAACCTGGCTGCTTAAAACAACATAAATTTATCCTCTGACACTTCTGGAGGTCAGAAATCTGAAATCACTTTCACCGGGTTAAAGTCAAGTGGTTAGCAGGGCTGTATGCTTCTGAAGCCTCTGAAAGGAGAATCCTTTTCCTGCCTTTTCCAGCTTCTAGAGCCATTCTTTACATTCCTTGACTCATGGCCCCTTCCTCCATCTTCAAAGCTAGCAGTGTAGCATCTTCAAATGTCTTTCTGCTTCTGTTGTTACATTACCTTCTCCTCTAGTCAAATCTCCTTCTGCCTCTCTCTTATAAAAACAGTTGTGATTACATTTAGGGCCCACCTGATAGTTCAGGATAATCTCCCCATCTCAAGATCCTTAATCACATTTGCAGAATCCTATTTGCCATAGAAGGTAACATTCACAGGTTCCAGGGATCAGGATTTGGGTATTTTGGGGAGGCCATTATTCAGCCTACCACAGGGTGAATGGGATCTAAAATTCAGCTCAAGTCCCACTCCACTCATAGAGCCCTGCATCAGAAGGGCATGCAGTGGGAGATCTGAGGCTGCTGGCATTTTCTCTTGGGTCTTGCCTGCATAGATGTATCTGAGGCTTTTCTTTTTTTTGGTTGGGTTGGGTTTGGTTTTGCACGATGAATTATGGAGGGACATGAGGTGGAGGAGGAAGGATAATTGACTTGATAATTCAAGTGTTAAAAGCTTATTATGGTTTCCTTATAATGTTCTGGTCATGCTTTGTAATGTTCTTTTATTTTTTGTAGCATCTTCATCAAATTTTGATATTGGGGTAATGATGACCTCATCAAATGAGTTGGGAAATGTTCCCTTTTCTCCTATTTTCTGGAAGAGATTGTGAAGAATTCATATGATTTCTTCCTTAAATACCTGGCAAAATTCACTAATGAAACCATCCAGGCCTGGAGTCTTCTTTGTTGGGGAGTTTTAAATGATGAATTCAATTTTGGTAGATTGTATCAAGGAATTTCAGCTCTTGTTGAACTTATGGGCATACAGTTGTTAATAGTGTTCCCCCCTTACCCTTTCAACGTCTGTGGGGTCTGTAGTGAAATCCCTTCTTTGATTTTCAATATCAGTAATTTTTGTCTTCTTTCTTTCTCGGTCAGTCTGATAGAAGTTTTTAAAAATATATCGGTCTTTTCAAAGAACAGCTTTTGTTCCATTAATTTTTCTCTATTTTTTTCTTCTCAATGTGATTGACTTCTACTCATTATTTCTTTTGCTCGCTTTGAGTTTGTGTCTGTGTCCTAATTTCCTCCTCTTACAAGGACACCAGCTATATTGGATTAGGGCCCACTCTGCTGACCTCATTTTAACTGAATCATCTTTTTAAAGACCCTATATCCAAATATAGTCACAATTTGAGGTACTGGGGGTTAGGACTTCAACATATGAATTTTGAGGGGTCACAATTCAGCCCATAACAGTGGCAACAGAATCTTTTTTAGTCTTCATTCATCTGAGAATGTCTTTATTTTACCTTTATTCCTGAAGGGCATTTTTGCTGGAAGTAGCATTCTGAATGAACAGGGTTTTTTTTCAGCACCTTAACGGTATCATTCCCGTTTCTGGTTCCTTGGTTTCTGATGGAAGATTCAATCATTTGAATCATTGTTCCCTATATGTAATGTGTTGTTTTTATCTGGCTGCTTTCAAGATTTCCTTCTTTACTTTTAGTTTTCAGCAGTTTGATTATGATGTATTTTCAGGGTGGTCTATTTTGGGTTTATTATGTTTGGGGTTTACTGAGTTTCTTGAGTCTTTACATTTATGTCTTTCACCAAATTTTGGGAAGTTTTGTCCATTATCCAAATATTTGTTCTGTACCAATATCTTTCTCCTCTCCTTTTGGAACTCCAATGAACTGCATGTTCAAACTTTAAATATAGTTCCACAGGTCTCTGAGGCTTTATTCATTATTATTTTCACCTTTTCTTCCTCTGCTTTTCAGAAAGGATAATTTCTGCTTATCTTCAAATCCACTGATTCTTTCCTCCATTGTCTATGTTCTGTTATTGAACGCATCCAGGGAATGTTGCATTATATTTTTCTCAAATCTAAAATTTCCATTTTCTTCTTTTTTATAGTTTCTATTTCTCTCCTGAGAATGTCTAACTTTTCACTCGTTTTATAGTGTTTACTTTTACCTCATGGAGTATGGTTATAATATCTGCTTTAAGGTCTTTATTTAAGAATTCCAATATTGAGGTCATCTTGGGTTGGCATTTGTTGTCCTTTCCCTTGAGAATTAGTTACATTTTGTTGGTTCTTCGTATGTTGAGTAATTTTGTATTGTATCTTGAACATTTTGAAAATTATGTTGTGAAACTCTGGGTCCTGCTAAAATCCTCTGGAGAGTGTTGATTTTTTTTTTTTTTAAGCCAGCAAAATCTTGAAGTTCAGAATGTGTGTTCTGTCTCACCTTCTGTGGGTAACAGTTATTTTGTCGGGTCAATTCTCAAAACCTGTATTTCTTTGGATCTGTTTTTCACACGTGCATCTTGGGTGCTTTAGGTGCTTGCACTGCCGCCACCACCACCACTATTGCTGCTGTGCAGATTTATGACTGCAGCTGGTCTTGGGGCACACCTGAGAGGGGGAAAAAAAAAGAAAAAAGGGCAATTCCTTCATACTCTCCAGCTCACAGGGAACCCTTTTCCTGGTTCTCTGGCTAGAAAGAGGGGATTTCTCTTGAGTTTATGCAATCTGCATAGTTCTGGATTTCAGATTGCCCTCAGGTCAAAACCAGAAAAGGAATTAATTTACCAGGAAATTCATCACTATGCAAGTCATCCTTCAAGTTTTGACTGACTATTATTTACTTTTCGGAGTCCTCAGGTAGTTGTTTTTTCAGTTCTGTTCAGTTATAATCAGTTGCAGAGAAATGTGGTAGTGGGCTTACTCCATCTTGGCCAGCACCAGAAGTGTTTCATGGTGGTTTTGAGTCTTATTCTTCCACCTCTCACCTTTCCCCCAAATCAGCTGGCACTTCAGTTCTTTCAGTGAAATTTTGTTAGAATAGTGCTTTAACAGAGATCAAACAACAGAGGCTTAACCAAAACAGAAGTGCATTTTTTCTCAAGAAACGGCCGGCCTGGAGGTAAGTAGTCTGATAGAAGGGTGGGTCTACTAGCTTCTCCTGTGGTTTCCACCACCGGGTCAAGGCAACTGCTCCAGTTCTCATCATCTTCCAATTAGCAAGTAGGAAGAAAAGGGCAGGGGAGAAACTGCATTTTTTTAAGGAGTGTAACCTGGAAGTGGCACCATTATTTCTGCCCATGTCCCACTGGCCAGAATTTAATCACATAGTCACACCATGCTGCAAGGGAGGTTGGGAATTGAAGTCTCTAGCTTGGTGGCCATTTGTTTAGTGAAAAACTCAGGGAATGCTAGTACTAAAAATGTGGAAAATGGATCATAGTGGACAACTGCCAGTCTGCCATATCTTGAAATTTTGGGGAGAGGCAGCTGCAAAATAACTAACAATGCTAGCTAAAATATTTTTAAAATCTTTTAAAAATGTAAAGCTGCAAAAAAAAGTCTCCAGAAGCAAAGAGAAAGTGGGAGCAAGAATCCAGAGAGGTGAGCATCAGCTAATTACTTATGACCTAGACTTTATAAATTAATGCTAAAGATACATTTTCATTTTGAAATAATTTTAAACTTACAGAGAAGATTCAAAAATTGTA